AGCTTACCTCTGCAGCACACATGCATGCCACATATGCTTGAATCAACGTAGAGTGATAAACTGCCAAACTCGCTAATAGACTCATTTTTTTCTTGGCTTGTAGTTGAAAACTATTAAGTCAAAATTGCAATCATCTTGCCCTGGTATAGCTGCCTGGCTAATACTACAGGACCTAACAGACAAAAGGAAACAGCTTAATTTCTTCTGCTCCAATGACCTGTACCATCTCATGTCAATCCAAGCCACAAAAGTTCCCGCGGATGCTGTCTGTGCTATTGCTGTTACGTGTTTGATCAGCAGTTATGCTGCAGATACAAAGCAGCCTCTGATATAATAGGAGGGAGCTAAAAGCAGTATATCAGCTCTCAAGGCCCCGGGTAAATTCATCCCAGCCAGAGCAGAGAGCACAAATGAGTTTTTTAAGAAGTGAAGCACAGACCTAAGATTGGATATCATTTGTTTGAAAGAATATTTTTCCATCAGTACCCCAATTACTGACAACCTCAGCAATAAATCAGTGTGAGGCTGTTTGTCAGGGTAACAAATACCACAGCTCTGGGCACGTCCTGACACCTGTTCTTGTCTCTGTGTACAAGTGCCCACTCCATTGGATATGTGCACCCCAAAATAGTCTTGATGTCTCAGGGTTGGAATTTCCTCAAGAAATTCTTCAGTTGTGAGTAATCTATTCAACCCCAGGCTTTAAATCGTTAATCTCCTTTTGTAAGCCTTTTCACAGCCTCAGCCCCACCACTACCCTGCTTCAATGAGCAAACCATTCGTCTCCTTAATGAGAACGCTTATTACAAAAGTTAGTAGCCAGTAAATTAAGAAAACTGCTCTCAAATACCTCTTGTCCTTCAGAAAGAGTACCTGCCCTGCTATGATATAGCTCTTTCATCTTGAATTAGCTAAATCACAGCATCAATGCTTTCAAGCTCCAGACATGTTCATGCTTTTAAACAGTATGTAACTCTTATTAATACATAAATTAATCTGTAAAGGGATTACAAGGTGGATTTGGGAAACATTTCCCTACTGATGCACTGAACTGTTGAAATAGCCCCAGACTAAAATATCATTTACGCAGCTGAATAAATGAACTTGCATCCTTCAGTCAGTCTCTACACATTAGAGAATCTTAAGCTTCTTTCGAATATTAGCAGTAATTTGCAGAAAACTTTTTCAGTCCATCTGATTATTAAAACAGTGTAAAATAAGAGAATGTCTTTTCCCTATTGCTGAGACTGAAATACATTTGAGTTCTTTTACAATTTTTATAAAACAGTGACTTTATAAACACATGGGATTTTTTAATGGGTGCAACATTTCCCTGAAACAAAATTTCACTGCAAATACTGCGCAAACAGCATCAAGTCTCTCCTACAGATGTTATTTAATGCTTAAAAGACATTCCGAAAATACTGTGTAGTGCAAATATGCCTCAAATGCATCTCAAATGTGTTTGAGCAAAAAGAACAGTAGCAAATTACTTCAAGTAGCTTTATGTACAGAGCTTGCTTTCTGTAACTGATGCTAAGCAAAATTTTCAAAAAGGTAGACACTCTTTCTATAGCCAAACATTTCAATTCAGATTTTCAATCTATTTTCTGTCAAATCAATTGTTCTAAATGACTGAAGTAGTTAAATAACATAAAAATACAAATGCTCCATTTTACATTTCCCTAGGCTTATAAGCACAACTTGCTTGTAATTATATTTTTAAAAGTTATTTTAATCTATCCCATATTTGAAAATAAAATAATTTCTGTGCACCTTAGATAACCATTTTCTTTTATTTGTCAGTGTGTTTTCACCTTGTAGGAATGAGACAGCTTAGATAAGAAGCCAAGCTGCCTATTTAAAAGCTTATTTACTACCATTTACTCATTAGCAAAACTGAAGTTTAGGAAGACTAACACATATGGCAGGTTCATTGTCTTAATTAAGAACTTTATTGCAACACATTTACAAGTGAGAATGGGAAAAAAAACACTATAATTCAGTGTTGTTTCTTTTTCCCCTCAACAAGTCTATAAGCATTATTACTGTTGGAGCATTTTGCAAACACTATATTCACCAGAGAGAAGTTTGGCACTGTGCTGCAAAAACTGCCTTGAATTCCAATATGACTCTAACCTGTTCACAGCAAGCTTGCGGTGCCAGAAACAAATAAGCAGGTCAAATGTGCAGCTTGTGAACAAAACTTTATAAATTATAGGATTTTTTAAGATTTTTTTTTTTTTAAGAAAACAAAAAAATTAAAAATATAAAGGAAAAAAAAAAAAAAAAAAAGAAGGATAGCATTCAGGAAACTTTGAACCAAAGAAGTATAGTCTTTCTGACTTGGGTGCTTCAAGGATGAATTAAAAATGTATGCACGTATAAAATCAGCATATGTACAGCCCGATTTTATGCCCTTCAAACCACATCCAAACTCATGGAAGCCATTCTTCTTGACACCTAAGCTCCTAAATGAGCAGTATCCGCCCGTGAACTACCCAGCTGACATGTATTTCCTCTCTCCCAGAACCTCTTTCTCAGAAAAAAAATAATTCTACTTCACTTCTTTCTGAACCAGCAACCCAAATTAATCCATGCTTCACTTGCCAGTTGTAGGCCATAGACCACAGTCCCCAACATTATGTCTTAAAGAAAGCAGACAGGTATTTGATCTGCTCCCAGACCTCTGCAATAAAGGAAGACCAGACTCTTTTGACTCTCCACTCTCCCAAGTCAAGAAGATCTGTCCTCAGGGTCAGGTGAGGCTGGTCATTAGACCAAGGTATCCTACCCTACAGACAAGATGCCCACAGCACTCAAGAGTGCTAGAGATAAGACAAGAGAAATTTCCCTAAGCAGCTCCACACTTCATCTGTGAAGTGTGATGAGCATGCTACAAATCACTCTACAAGAACACCACATCCCAAACTGAACACGTTCTTCTTCTAACATTTCAGCAGAACACAAGGGACTGGGCACTAAGCCGATGCCAATGAATCTGCCATCACTTCTGCAGCAGTAGGATGGGGGGAAGGCTGAAAGCCCACATAGAGACAGTACTCACTGCACAGCCTGCCCTGCAGTAGCCTGCCACATTGCTCCTCAGAAAGGAGCGGGAACAGCTGCAGGCAGGAGAAGGCTGCCCAGAGCTGACTGCTGCCAGCACACACACGCCAGACAGTCTCAGATGGGAAGGGAGGAAGGGAGGGAGAGGAAGGGATGGAGCCTCACATCTTCCTGAACGTTTATGACCAGGGCTCCCTAGGTTTTTTTTTCTATTGAAAGCAAAGTACTTGAGTAAGCTAAACTGAGAAGCCTGTGGCACACCTTGCCCACTTGCAGCTGTGCCTTCTTGGTGCCCATGCCCAAAGAAAGCAGCGAGCTTAGCAAATAGCTCACACAAGAAATAAAGGGCGCATGAGGAATAACCTATGCTTTGCCCATAAAGGATCTCAAACAACTTTCATATCTCCTGGCACTTCCTAGGTCTAACGGCACACCCTTGTTCAAGAGCAGTAACTTCTGCATTATACCACTCAGCCAGCTTGACTGAAGTCCTGCTGAACTGGAGCCGCTCGCCCCCTAAATAGCAGCAATTGCAAAGTATCATACTTTTCAAATGAGAAGAAAAGCTGAGCGCTTCTTTCCTTTCCATTTATAGAGCTGTGCTGTGATCTGCATAGCTGCAGAACTGCAACTGACACCCTCTGCAGTGACTGGAGCAAGCAGCAAAAACACCACTGTGCTTTTGGAGTACCAGTCCACTTCTCTTCTATACCTCAGAGCCTGTAATCTTGCTTCAAAATCCCAAAACACAATTAGAAATCTTTCCTGGATTAAAATCTTCTTTACTTAAGCTTCTAACCTTTTAACTGCACTTTGCTGATATGTTTTGTAGATATATGGAAATTCTGCCAGCTGTCCACAGCTAGTGGATCATGAGGAGCAATTCAATCTCAGGGATCTGAGCCTGACTAAGTACTCTTCTCCTTTGTGCACACCTACTGATACAACTACATTTTTAACTACACAGGATTAGAACTCCTATGCTGCTGAACAGAATGGTTCGAAGCTCTGAAATAAGATTTGATTCTTCTCTTTTCCTTTGTACAGTCTTACTACAATAGGAAGGAGCTTGCAGATGAGATGAAAGTAATTATTTTCTACAGTATAGGTCTTTCTTCTGCTGTCCAGTGAGTAGTAAACGGAAGAAATTACATATTACAGCAAGATACATGAGGACAAGGTAGGATTTCTGTTGTTTCTTGAAGTTATTTGCCTGGGATTCTCTAATTGAACATGCAATCAGAACAGAAATCTTTATCATGAGAATAAAAATAGAATACACTGTGCTATAAGCAGAGCAGTCATATTTTAGTGCATTTTCCAATCCAGTTATAAACATCTGAATAAGTGCTTTCGGAAGCATTAAACAGAGAAGTACTTTCCTCGGTATGACTTTTGGTTGAAAGCACATATTTTTATGAAACTTCTGAATTCCCTACCCTTCTTAATTCACACCGAAAAGTACCACTCAATACTTCCTTCTAAAGCAGCAAAGTCATTTTCTTTAAGACAATTTAAACTGAGGTCTTTAAGCACTTGTATACCTCACACATTATGTTACAATATCCTTAAAAAAAAAAATATATATATATATATATCCTTAAAAAAAAAAAAAAAAAAAAAAAAAAAGGCAAACGCTTCGTATTCACTAGCAGCAATTTGATGGAAAGCATCCTGAAATAACCTGCTATTTCATCATGCATAAGATATTTATAATCATAACAGACTTAGAAACAACATAATAATGTAAATGTGTAGGCAATTATTGAATTCAATGCACTTCAGAGATATGTAAACGACAGAAGAGAACTGCTGTAGTTCCATTACTAATGCGTGTCCTGGAAACTGACCATCAAGCTTCACTGTTTCAGCTTCCTAACCTAACAAGAAACCAGAAACAAACAAGAAAACCCAAACAAGAAACATCTTACTTGTTCAGTCTTCTCTGGTTGTTTTCTATCCGCCTGCAAAAACTGACAGTTTTCTCTCGCCAGCTTCTGGACCAGCTCAATTCGTCCAATGTCATCTCTCTCCTGAAGCTTGCACAAAACCCCTGCCTTAAGGGTGGGAGAAAGAGCAAACAGATACTTAAATCCACAGTCCCAGGACATGGCACTGCCACAGGATTTCAGCCTTAAAAGAAATGCATCTGTTTGATCATATTTGCTGAACTCTGAGCCGCTTGCTGAGCACAGACTAACTGCTGCTGGGGAAACAAATCAAGAGCTGGGGCACATCTGACTCTCCAAATGTATCTACTCTGGAGGAACAAGGCAGGGCTAACTAAATCAAGTGCTACTATGTGTGACTGATATGCTGTGTTTTGTTTGTTCCTGTCAGCCTGTTTCCTGTTACATCAGAGAACAAGAGCAAGAGGTTAAAAACTCATGGGAAAGTTAGCCAGGAACGGCCCTGGAAAAAGAAGGAAGAGCAACACAGTCACTCCTAAAAATAACATGCTGCAACTCCCAGCTCTGCCTCCAACAATGTTTCATACATTCAAGGTAGGAGTTAAAGTTGGGCAACATTTATTTATTCTCCGTGTAACAAATTTTACAGTTCAATTCTGTTTAAGGAAGAAAATCAGGTTTTCTTTTAAAAAACATTACATAACAGTTTTTTTCTAATACTCTCTCAGTTATTCAAGCTATGCTGATAGCATACCACCATAACATCCAGCACCGGTTGTTTTACAAAAATGCTATATATATAAAGACAGATTCATGCTTGCATACAGGTACGCCGGACCCATCCTTCAAAGTTAGCTGACAAGGGCTGAATTGCTCACAGCAGAGCTGATGGCTGACACAGCTTTTGCACTGAGAGCTGCATGGCTTTATTTGCCCAGATGTTTCCTGCTGGAAGAATGCATGCCTTGCAAGGGCCAGGCATGTGGCATGGCTACATTACTGCTACATGACTTCAGAAGCAGCCTGCAAATAAACCTTTTTCCTCTGCTCTTTTCTTTTTACTGCTCACCCTGAGTTTTACTAAATCGGTATTTGCTCAAAAGTCCATAAAACATCTTGCAAGTCAAAGCCAAAGCCCTAGGATGCTCCCTTCCTGAATCCAAAGAGCCATCCCTACTGAATCATTTGAAATAAAGAATGTCACATGCCTTTTTTGTACTCTACAGTAGGCATTTTAAATAGTCAGATGAATTGTTTGCTAAAATTCACATTTTTGTCCAGTAATACACACAGGGAGTTTGGGCCATTATCACAGACTGGCTGAGATCAGACATCTGCACTACACAGAGCTTTGGTTTTGTGAGGACACCAGCTAAAGCCAAACCTGCTTATTTCATGGCTGAGGGATGCTTCTAGCAGAGTGTAACATCTGTGTGCTGTAATCCCTGCAGGCTAAGAACAACTCAAAGTTTTACAGCCTATCAAATCCATGAAGATTTACAGACTCTCTAGATCTGGGCTGTAACTACTGGGGAGGCACTTTTCACACCTCCGCCCAGACAAGTCAGGCCATGATCTATGAGAAGCAGAGACAGTTACAAGTTCCTGCACATCAAATGTCAGATGGACAACGAGCAGAAATGCCCTGTTCACTCTGCTGAACAAATATGTATTGATTCCCAGTGTATGAAGCAAAGCCCAAAGGTTAAAACTCTTATTTTAAGCTGAGGAAGAGGGATTTCTGTTTTGGGAGAAACAACTGGCTTCAGTATGTTCAACTGGAAGGAACACTGTGGAGAAAGGCAACTTTCTGAATACACGGTCCTTGCTTTTCTTTGTACGTTCAGATAGAAGGTACTGTTGCTTTCTATGTGGATGAGCACCCAGCAAAAAATAAACTCTCTGCCACTAATACTGCCTGTATTCAAATGGGAAACCTCTTTAGGGAATCCTATCATCCTGTTTCAAATAACCACCAAGAAGAAAGAGTATTTTTAAACATTCCCTTCCTTCAGCAGTCTTCTGGATGGTAAAAGGCCAACTAAAAAATTCCTGAGAAAGACAGAGTTCTATCAAGTTAAATGTACATGCTAGGCTCTAGGAGTAAATTATACACTTGAAAAGCAAAATGCTAAATGTGTTGTTTTATAACTAAGGACAAAAATATCAGCCCTTCACTTTTTATTCTGATTTTTGCAATTATACCAATTTTCCACTATAAATCTTTCTGCCAAGTAATATGAGAAAGCATCCAGATCAGCTAATTAAGTAATCAATGACAACTTCTAAAAGCTGGTAGGGGAGATATTGTTAGAGTCTCATACAACCAGTCATTTTCATTCGTCAATATAAATCTAATTTCTAAGAAATACCTTTAAAGCTGTTAAGGAAAAGGGTAAATACCGGCCACACTACTTGCACAGAGCAGTCTTGATTTGTCTTCTGTGCAGGCACACAGCCTCCAAAATCCTGCATGCCCAAATATTTCTGCTTAATCCTCCAATTCACATACACCAACCAAGTTGCAAGTACCAACTTATTTGAAGGTAAAAATTATGAAGTTGTATATTTTAACAGACATTAGTTTAATGAATGATAAAAAAAAATACATGTAGGAGACTTACAGGAAGACTTCACTAATATTTACAGTGCAAAATTACTATAATTGCAAGTGTTTCTAGAATATTTGAAATGGAATAAGAAAGTTTAATGGGAAGAAAAATGAACTAGTCACTACTGAGGCTGGAAAAGGAAAGATGCTGACAATGCTTTTTTGTTTCTCAGCACATCCACTGGAAAATGTTCCCTCTGCAAAATCCTTAAATAAATACGCCAGGGGTGACATGGTAGTGACTTAAGGCATCCCGACGGCACGTTAAGAAACAAGCTGTTCAGAAATCTCAGATTTTTTTCCAGACTTCCACCAGGTTTGTGCATTACCAAGGTAAGTCAATTCTGTGTCAAGCAGAGCAGTGTTTAGAGCAGGCGCCACACTTTTAAATTTTGCTAACAGAAGAGATTTGTGTTGTTTGAACTGTGCAACTATGCCCTTTGCATCTGTTGAAAACATAATTATTGCAAGCTTCCACTTTGATCAGCCTGAAAACTAAATAATGATATGTCACTGCCTCAACAGATCTTTTACTTTGCTCCAGTCACTTGCACAGTCTCACTAAAGTGAAAAGAATGTTCAAACCCTTCACCCAAACTGTACCCAATGTTTGCAGAATGCCGTTTTTATGGGACTGACAAACAAATTAGAGCAACAGCTGCTTTGATAATGCCACTGTTCTATTCCCAGTTGAGCCCTTCAACACTTTCCTTAACTGCTCAGTTAATAATTAATTGTAAAGGCATTTCAAATTCTTTCAAACTTTAGAAGCTGATTTGCAGCCGAATGAGAGATGAATAAATCAGTATTAACCACTCTTTTTCATTATTATCTGCCCATGTAATCCTACTAGCTGTCTACTTACAAGCTTTGAGCAACCAATGTAATCTTTCCTTTTATATCTCTTATATAAACGTAAACAAGCACTTCCCCAAAATAGCAACTACATGGGATGTTCCAAAAGTAATACCTCCTATTTTATTATGTTGGCCCACAGCCTCAGAGGCAGATGTTGGTGGTATGACAGTAGATGTTGAATAACAATATTCTAACAATATTCTGTTACACATTGTTGCTGCGTGACAGATGGCAGCAGTGGTAATCTGACAGAATGGCATTTGACATGGAAGTGTGAAAAAGGGCACCCACTGACATTTATTGATGCTTGCTGAATGGAGATCGAACAGTGGATGTGAGCACAGTGAGGCAGTGGGTTGTGCATTTCAGCAGTGACAACAGTGGTCACCTCCACTGATCCAGATTTTTACTAGTGTGGCACGCAGGCTCTTGTTTATCACTGGTGAAAATGTACAGCTAATGGTGGTGACTGTTGAAAAATCGTGTTTTGTAGCTGTGATTTTGTAGCATCAAAGAGTGTTACTATGCTCTTTGTATCTGCTGTAATTTCCATGAAAATAAGTAGGAGGCATTACTTTGATGACAACATCAGTACAACAATCAAGCAAAACAGAGTATATCTGAAAATAATTAAGAACAGAAAAGAGCAGGTTGTTTCAGAACACCTTGCTCAAGTATTACTGTAACGAGTGTGGTAAATACCCAGTAAAGAGCTGACATAAGAGGCACATACACATGGTCTCCATTCTGCCTGTGATGTCTGCCATGACCCAGGCTGCCTACCGAAGCTTCCAGCAGACCCTCCTGTGCTTTAGAGAGCCTGCATCTCTAGAAGGGTTCAGGTACTGCTAACATGGCTGCATAGAACAGGGTTCCTCACAGACATCATTACATATCCCATCCCTCTCACATACAGCTTTTTAGCTGGCAAAATCCAGAGAGAAATCCAGAGAAAAGAGCTACAGTTTGTATTCATCAGGAGAAGAAATGGTGACAACTGGTGGGAAGCAAAAGATTCTCAAGAGGAACAGAAGAAATAAAAAAAAAAGAAGCAAAAAAAACCAAACAGTCAAGACTGGGAGAAACCAATTTTAAATTAAAAACAATAATCAGTACCAATATAATGCGCAATATAATCATGCACAGTTCAAATATGTGAACTGAATGATTGAATGAGCTAAAGATTAATCAAAAAAAGATTCACAGAATCAACAGGGACAAGAAATCCCGCAATAAATTACTGAAGAATGTAGTTTTATTTCTTCTGAGTAATATCTAGAAGTATGCTCTGGTTGTAAATGGGGGCAGTTAAGGAAGGAAAGAAAGAGGTTGTTGCTTACACTCAAGTGACTCTTAAGAATCTTCATTTCATTGCCTGTCTACTTACAGTGATTAAAATTCAATCAAAATGTCATATACTCTTGCCTCTTAAAACACAACTCATTTTATTTTCACATCTGGTATGTGCTATGTGTATCATCTAGAAAGAGCAGAGAGAGTTTAAAAATGCTGTCTGATTTCAACATCATGGAATTAATTCCCAGGGTGACCATCAGTTTTATTCTAAATAGCCTTATAAGACAATATCCAGCAGACTTCTACTTCCTATATATCCCTGTTCAGATCATTGGGGGAAATCCATTTTCCAGTGCTAAAGAGCTATCAAAAGCAGATCCTTCAGCTGGTAGACCTGAAAAAGTTTCTAAGATGCCATTAATCTTACACATTTACCTGAGCATCAGAGGCACTCTTCAGCTCTTCCAGCCTTCTTATATCTTGACCACTGTGTTCTTCATTTTGATGAATTGCTAAAATAAGAAAGAGAATGTGTTGGAAGCAAGCATGTTCAAATCACAAGCAGCACCAAAGCAGCACACAGTCCATTTTAGATCAAACAGGATGGCCATTAAACCAACGTGGTTCCAAGTTTAGTTTTCTAATCAAGTCATTGAGTAGTTTTGGAAAAACTCCTGTATGGACTTTTTTTTTAATCTAGGCAGTAAAATGCAGTACTCAATAGTTATATTTCTGCTACTAAGTTATTCCTGATAAAGCAGTGGAATTTAAGGAACTCCCATCTTTTCTATATATTATAACAAGATCCAGTGACTCACAAAGAATGAAAAACAGAAATCCCTTTATTTTCATTTAATTGCAGAAGGTCAACTCAGACTAAACAAAATAAGTAGATTTCTCCTTCATCTCAGCCTTGGAAAATTCTTTGTAAGCAAATTGATCGTAATCTCAACAAACACCACCATTACTCATGAGAGTCACCTACTCCATCCTAAGATATCTGAACCAGTCATCAGTCTGCACCTGATCTGCCACCGCTTTTTTGAAAGCAAGCATCACCAATCTTGCTTTGCCTTAAACTTACATCTGTAAAGTGAAGCTGCCTGGGATCTGACTGCTGAACAAATCAGCAGGTTAAACTGCAGTAGAATTTAAAGACAGAGAAAACCAAAATGTGACTGTACCATTGCAGTGTATCTATGATCTACGCTGGGAAATCAACAACCCAACAAAGACACAACCAGAATTACGGCCCCAAAAGCTCTGTGAAGCCCCTGCTTTCCTGTTCCAGGTTTCTCAAGAGGGTCTACACCATTCTACCACATCAGGGATCTGTGCAGTCCCTTCTTTTGTGACCTATCTTCCAGCCTTCCTCTTCCCAGAGCTGTAACTGCACAGGGCATAAAGTGTTCAGGAAATTGATATGCCAAACACTGCTCAGAACAGCAGGTAAGAGGCAGGAGTGTTTCAATGCCGTAAGGTGCTAATGAATAAAAAATATTAATAAAATAATGATAATAACAAACGATTGAAAATTTCTCAAGTCTGCATAAGCAGAAATAGAGCATTTCCTCAACTCTCACTTTCCTGGTTTCTCCTACTCACAAATGGTCAAAACATCTCTTCAGATGTTGATGGCTAATCATGGTATTTCCAGGAACCAGCTCAAAGTAAATCCGTGGGTCCAGGCAGCTTCTCCTAGGCATGCTGCAACCAGCTGTGATGAGGAAATGACAAGCAGCCCACCATCAATTCCTTGTCACCATTACAGGTATCCCCTGCCCAGCACCAGCCCCTGGGCCGACTCTGACCAAAACAAGTTAGCCAACTATAGAGGAAGGCACATGCCATTGCTACTTTGGCTGTCAGAACAGCAAAGGGACAGCAGAGGAACTATTGACAACAGCAGGCTTGGAGGGCTGCAGGGAACTGCATCTTTCAGCAGGCACAGAGGAGGAGGGTGCACACTCCCAGCCTGCACAGCACTAATATGCTTGGATGTTGAACAATTTTAGTGTGAGAAATTTTAAAGCTGATGAGAAAACGGCCTTGGTTCGGACATATGCTAAACAAATCCATTAAAAAAAAAAAAGTATTTAAGCATTTTGTCAGCAATTTCACAGCTCAACTCTAAAAAAGCTGAAAAAGTTGATAATCCAAACCCAGCTCTCCTTGGCTGCAGTGTTGTTTAGACTGTTTAAGGAATGTAGGAAACAACCAGTAAATATTTTCTTATAGGAAAAAAAAGGAAAGTCCCAGACCTCACACTGACGTGCTCCTGGCTCTCTTGGGAGAGAGGGAGCAGTCAGCCTCTTTTTCATGAAGTTTCCATCGCAAACTCAATTGTTGCATCTTGTCTGTCTCTCATTCAAACACGTAAGGATCAGCCATGGCTTGAGCCCTTCAGCTACACTCAGAGGGTGATACTTAAGAAATCACACCATCAGTATAATTTTTCCACTACAAGAATATAGCTCCTTGAAGGCTGAAGTGGCCACACTGGTAAATAACAATCCTTAATTCTATTTTGATGGTTTCAGCACAAAAAAAAGGTTACTACATATTTTGTATATACAACAAAGAAAAAATAAAACAACATAAATCTCTTAAATATTCCTATGTAGTTAAAAAACATATGTTCACATGGGTCATCAGATGCAGCAAAAAACAAACTGTTGTATTTCCTCACCCAGTGCCATCTTACAGACAGCCCCTTGATTCCCACCCAGGAAACCAGCCTATGGCAGTGGCCTTGATACTGCTCCAACAGGCTGTTGTGCATGCAATACACATTCAGCCATAAAATGTAAAAATTCAAGGACAATTTTCCATTTACGGACAGCTGGCCTTACATTTTTTAATAAAAACGCTTGATGTTGCAAATTCAGTCATAGGAAAAGCAACAGGAAGGCTAGGGTGGGAAGGGAAAGCATTTCCCAGGCAAGTGTTGATTCTGGAATAGGTCCCTAAAACTGTAGCCTGTAACACAAAGAAGTTGTGAATTTTGAAGCTGGGCCGCTGCCTTCACTGCCAGGATAAAACCTGCTACTGTCTTTGCCACATCAGTATCCCAGCACATCTGACAAAGCAGCAGTTCCAGAGAAAGGCAAAGGTAGTCTACCCTGATATGTTAGCGTCTGCTTAATGTTATGTTTGTGTTCAGACAGAAAAAAATGCAAATGAATGTGCAGTGGCCAGTTCTTTTTTCTATCTGCAGCACTTCTCCTCCTTTGGTCAATAACAGAGGTCACCGGGAATAAAATAAAAAGATATTAAATGAGCATTAGCTTGTTAATGTGCAGTTCAAATGTGTCCATTTGCAAATTAGCCCAGGGAATTTCAGATGTTGATTTTTTATGATCACTTAAGGATCACAAGGGCCATTTTCTGATCCAAGTCCCTTGTGTCCATATGGACTGTAGCTGAGCTCTATCTAGAGGATTCTTCTGTAAAATCAACACTGGAATTGAGAGCACTTGAAGAAGGAAGCTTTGTCCTTTAACAATTTGACTTCAGCTCATTAAACCAATAGAAAAAATAGCAAAGAAGTAAATCATGCTGTATAGTGTATCAGCAAGATCAATCATTGCAAAGGGGTTAGAAGGGAGAGGGAACATGACCACGACTGACATGGGAAATGAGCACAACCTTTGAGTCAACAGTACTGACTGCTGCTCTCCCCACTTTCTCAGCCTCACTTCAAAGTTTAAAGTAGATTTAAGACATAGGAAGAGAATTGCCTCTACAGAATACCAAAGGGCTCTTTGCAGCTGGACCCAGTGTGCAGCAGTGTCCTCCTAGCACCCCACCTGGCTCTGAGGCTGCATGGCACTCTGCTCCTAGGTGGGCTGCTCTTCACGGCCCCAGACCTGAAGGTAAACTGTGTTTGACTTTTAAAAGTCACATCTTACAATTCACACTATTGCATTTTGTGCTATTCAAATAGCAGCATCTTTCACCTAAGTGAAATTGGAAAGGACAGTAAAAAAAAAAAAAAAAAGAAAGAAAGAAAAATCCACCCATAAAGCAACTCCTGGAACCCAAAGAATTCCAATCTTCCCAGAGGCTTTGCTCTATTGTGCAGCAGCCCAGCATTCTTCCTCTGCTATAAATGAAGTTTCTTCTTTCTGCCCTTTCTGGCTGCCAAGATAACCTCCCTGAGAAAACCCCTGCGCTATCGCATGAGCTCTGCAGCCAGCCCGCCCGAACAATAACACCAGCAGAGGTGTGAACTTCCTCCCTTTGGCTCCACAGGGTGTGAACTCCAAAAGCTAATTATCTAAATGGTTCAATGGGGACCCCGCACCTCCACTAACCATGCTGCTGCAGGACAGAGCTGCATGGCAGGCATGGACATCTGTCCTCCATGCACGGCCACTCCAAAGCCACCTCAGCTCCCCACAAAACAGGCTGTCCTTCCAGCTGTAATATGTTTGGGGTTTGTTCAGCTGGTAGTTGATTGCTGTAAGCTCGACTGCATTTGATGTCCTGGTTGAGAACGGAGCACCATGTCGGCAGGCAGAAGAAGGGACAGGGCACTTCTGACAGCCAGTAAGCTCACTGTGAAGCCCAGCCGTGGCACCAGGACTGCCTGCCTGCTGGGAGCTCATAAACCTTGCCTTTGGCAGGTACACTGCTTACATTGCACTGCCCTAGGCTGCTCTCAAGACTGAGTCCACTGAACACTGCGAGCCTCCAGGCACAGCCTGGCAGCACCTGTCAGTTAGGACAGAGATGTCCCACGGTTGCATTCTGTGACAGCTCTGCCTCTGAACTTAGCTTGGTTACTCCTTAGTCCATGCCTTTCATACTTCAGCAGTGCACCTTCATTTCAAATAAGAATGCTCATTTATTACTTACTGTTGTTCATTAACCTGCTAATATCCTCCAACATCAAACTACTTCGTCCTTTGTAAGATTTCAATCCTACTATGTGATTAAACTTTTTATGTGTATATGTAAGACATATACATATATGCATAAGTATATATGTACATGCATATATAAACACATGCAGTTGGACCAGGTGATCTTAGAGGCTTTCTCCAATCTTAATGATTCTGTACACATTCATCATTCATATCTATAATTTCTTCTAGCCAATAAGACACCAACATGCCCTCTGTAGATGGAATGTTGTCTATTTCACAAGCCAGCAGATTTTCACTCTCCTATCCCTCCTGAATGGTTATAGGCTGTTTTTCTGTTCCTGTTCACTGCTGAAAAGACCTAGGGAATCTCCAAGAAAACTCCCTGGGGGAAGCATTCAATGCTTTGAACTGCCAACAGCCTGCACCACTTGATTTATCGTCTGCTCCTGGGAAGTTCACAACTTCTAGCATTCTTATAACCCCAAATTTTTTTTATAAGCATGTTTCTCTCTTCCCCCCCCCCCCCCAAGGAAGTTCATAGTATGAAGCTTTCCAGAAGTAGGAAAAAAAGTGTTTTTTTTGGTGGGTTTTTTTTTTTTTTTTTCAAAGAGCACATAATTCTAAGCCCATTTTATGTTTTT